AAAAATTAAGATCGGCAGCACTGAAAATAAGCATGCCGATTTTGTCAAAATTACAACAAACACGTCGCTACTGACAACACCTGGTTATTATTCCACCATGGTTTTAGTCAAAAAGAAAATTTGAAATTTGACTTATTTTTTTAGTCAAAAAAATTTCACTTTTATTTTTTCAGTCAAATTTTGAATTTTGTATGTGACCTTTTTTTTGGACCGAAAATAAAAGTTAAAATTTGTATTGCTATTTATTTGATTGTAATCGTTTAAGTTAAAAACGTTTTATTGCTATTTGAAAAATCCCTATTTCTGGTCTGATATGGAAAGGAATAACTCCACAAAAAATGTTGGCCGATAGGTGGTGGCGCAGGAGTCGAGATCTTTGGAAAATCCGTATTTATGGCCCGATTTGTAGAACGTACATATTTTACTTACAATGGAAAAAATAACTCCACAACAGACTTTGTCGTTAGGTGGTGCGGGGGTCGATTTTGGTTTTTTTTTTTATTAACCACTAATCAAAGCTTGCCTTTAAAATTTTTAATTACTTGTTTCCTCTGTTTTGAATAAATATTTACGGTGTTCACGGTATGTCGTAAGCGTCGTAAGGTCATAAAGTCGTAAAATTTTGCAATGTAACATAACGGTTGAAATGGTTTTAGCAGCGCTTCGGAGCAAAGGTGTTTTTGATCGCTCCACTCCTGTATTTTACTTCGCTCTTGCTCCACTCCTGCTCCCAATAAAAAAAAACTTTTTTATTTATTAATTTACATTACGAGCCCTAACAGCCCAAAAAACGTAGGCGAATTTTTTTTGAAAATTTCACAGGTCCACAAAAAAAAATCGATGAAAGGTTCCTTTGAACAAACCTATGTAGTCGTTATATGTTTTTGGGGTCGCTGAACACGAACCTAGGTTTGGTCAAAGAAGCCTTTCATCGATTTGTTTTTGTGGACCCCTGTAATTATATGTTTTTGGGGCCGCTGAACACGAATTTGAAGTCCGTTTTGCTCCATCACGTCTAGATTTTTCCTAACCTCAAAAAAACACCTCGGATTTTCTGTCACGTGAAATCCGAGATGTTTTTTGAGGTTAGAAAAAAATGCAGACGTGATGGAGCAAAACGGTCCTCAGATTCGTGCTCAGCGACCCCAAAAACATATTACAGACTAGGTTTGGTCAAAGGAACCTTTCATCGTTTTTTTTTTGTGTACCTGTGTTTTCTAGAAGCTAACCAAAAGATTATTAAAAAAATTGCCAAGCTAATAAAATATAATGGAAATTTGATTAACACGGTTGTTTACAGTGACAACAAATTATAATTTACGTAAATTTATTAACTGAACATTTTTTTTTTAATTTATCAGCCCTATTCTGCATTTCGACTCGAATCGAAATTTTCTCCGTTTGGCAACTTTGGTATTCTGCGTTCCGTTTCCTTTCGATCAATCGTCGAAGTTTACGATTATACCTATTCTACATTTCGATCGTAGTTCCGTTTTTCTAAGTTGCAAATTTGCTGACGGATAACGTTTCGATTGTTATTTTCGTGGGTTTAAATAATAAAATTTTATTAAAAAAATTTAAGTAAAATATACTGTGCATTGTTGTAAAAGCCATCATAAATGAATTTTCTCGATTTCTGTGTTCGCGAGCGGTAATACGGGCAATACGAAAAATTGGCTCAAATAATGGCAATCAAATGGGATATTGCGCAAGGTTTTCAAAGAGGAAGCCCAGGCGTTTTTGTTTTCATTATCTTCAAATAAGACTGTGAAATGC